GCTTTCGGGCGCCTGGGTGGCTCAGTGGGTTAAGCCGCTGCCTTCGGCTCAGGTCATGATCTCAGAGTCCTGGGATCGAGCCCCGCATCGGGCTCTCTGCTCAGCAGGGAGCCTGCTTCCTCCTCTCTCTCTCTGCCTGCTTCTCTGCCTGCTTGTGATCTCTCTGTCAAATAAATAAAAAAAATCTTTAAAAAACAAAACAAAACAAAACAAAAAAAAACATGTGCTTTCTAGGGGCGCCTGGGTTGCTCAGTGGGTTAAAGCCTCTGCTTTCGGCTCAGGTCATGGTCCCAGGGTCCTGGGATCGAGCCCCACATTGGGGGCGTCTCTGCTCAGCGCGGAGCCTGCTTCCCCCTCTCTCTCTGCCTGTCTCTCTGCCTACTTGTGATCTCTCTCTCTGTCGAATGGATAAATAAAATCTTTAAAAAAAAAAAAAACATGATGCTTTCTAAACACACCCATGCACACTGGCTGCTGTAATAATAGTGGTCATGGTAGTCTTGATGATGGGGTTTTTGTTGCTTCACATCTTTCCTCAATTCTGCTGATTAAGCCCTAAGCATTAAAATGCCCTTTTACAGAATGCTTTTTCTCATTCTTCACTATCCTGTTGCCTTCCCTACTTTTTTTTTTTTTTAAGATTTATCTATTTATTTGAGAGAGAGAGAGAGAACAGGTGAATGGGGGAAAAAGGTTTCAGGGATTAGAATGCGGACAACTTTATGGGACCATTATTTTACCTACTCCGATATACATTCTCATACTTCCCAGAATTGAAACATGGTAAGGCCTCAAAAAATACGTCTATTGAATTAGTGAATGAACAAATCAACATTGACCTACAACCCCTCCAAAAGCATTTTTAATTTATTTATTTATTTATTTATTTGTATTTAAATTCAGTTAGCTAACTCATTGCCTGAAACCTGTAACTGTTTCTTTATATGTCAAAAGGGACTTTGCAGATGTGATTGAGTTAAGGCTCTTGAGATGGGGAAAGTAGCCTGAAATATCCAGGTGGGTCCAATGTAACCACAAGGCTTCTTAAGAGGGGAAGGCAGAAGGGTCAGAGTAAGAGAAGGAGGTTGATGAAAGCGGGGAAGCATGGAGAAGGCCAGGAGCACAGATATTCAAGGATTTCATTTTGTCCTCCTTGAAGATGGAGGAAGTGGTTGTCATTGAGCCAAGGAACACAGGTAGTTTTTAAAGCGGAAAAAGACAAGAAATTGGATTCTCCTTTGAACTTTCAGAAGGAATACAGCCATGCCATCACATGGGTTTTAAGACTTCTGACCTCCAGTAAGGTACTATTAAAAAACTTACGGTGGGGCGCCTGGGTGGCTCAGTGGGTTAAAGCCTCTGCCTTCGGCTCAGGTCATGATCTCAGTGTCCTAGGATGGAGCCCCACATTCTGGGATTGAGCCCCGCATGGAGCCCTGCATCAGCATAGGGCTCTCTGCTCAGCAGGGAGCCTGCCTCCCTTCCTCTCTCTCTGCCTGCCTCTCTGCCTACTTGTGATCTCTGTCAAATAAATAAATCTTAAAAAAAAAAAAAAAGTCCTTAAAAAAAAAAAAACTTACGGTGTTTAAAGTTATTTGTTGCAGCAACAATGGGAAACTGAGGGGGCCAGATCTTAAAAGCCTCTTTTGAGAGCTGAAAGGTGAGTAAATAGCCAAGTAAATTTGGGGAATGGAGAAAGAATTCCACACTAAGAGATTAGTTTATGAGATTCACCAGGAAGATAGCTGGTCAGTATAATCAATTAAGTCAGTGAGGAGACGAAGAGGGAGAGCAGTTTCTTGATGGAGGCAAGGAGGCAGGAGTTGAACCATTTTTATAAGGCATTCTATGAAATGGGAACAAGAGTATCTAAAAGTGTTAAGATTAAATGATCCATGTAAGTGCCTAGTACATAATAAGGTACTCAAAGAATTTTGGCTGTTATAACTGTTCAGGTTTGAACTTAGGTTGTTCGAAGATTTAATGTAGAATATGGTTCGCAAGATAAACTGTTATTTGGAGATATAACAAATCTACAGAAGACTGCATAAACATAGGGAGACATATTAACAAAGAGTTCTACAGTAACTATATAATCACTAAACCACACCCTTGTCCTCATGGAGCTTACAGCTGAGATGGGGAGACAAACATTAATCAAACCATACAAATACAAGTTCAAATCTGGGACTAATGCTTTGAAGGAGATGCAAATAAACGTAATAACAGCAGGATTCGCCCTAGTCAGGAGAACAAAGAATTTCCCAAGAAAAAGATACTTGAGGTGACTACTAAAGGAAAAACAGAAACAAACCAGCTCAAATGGGAGAGCGAAAGAGCATTCCAAGTAGGAGGAATAGCACTTTTAAGGGTCTGAGGCTATGCTGAGCACAGACTGTGGAGAGTCCTTTGAGTGACAGTGAGAAAGGTAGGTTGGGCAAAGAGTTGAAAGACTTTAAATGCCAAGCAGAGATATTCTTCCCTAGACTTTGTGAGCTCCTTGAGTTCAGAGACCATGTCTTGTTCAATTTTGTATCAAATCTAGAATAGGTTTGCTGAATTAACTTGAGTGCAGATTTTATTTCCTAGCTAATAGAATCCACTGAAGTTTTTAGTCCGGTAAATCACCGTATTGATTGGTTAATGCTAGTAAGGACAGTATGAAGCGATTACTACCATAGCAGGGGCCTGATGTCTTGGAGGACTGAATTTTGGCTGAGGACTCAAAGCTTTCCCAGTTGAAAGAATAACAGAATTATATTCTGAAGGTGGAGTAAAAGAGAAACCTGTTTTTCAAATTGATATGATATGAAGAATGTAAGGGCACTTGTTAAAGACCTAGCTTCCCAGGACCCATCCCAACCCTCTAAATTAGACCCACGGAGGGGTAGGGGCAGCTGTATTTACTAACAAGCACCCCACTTAATTCTTATTCTCAAAGCCTGGAAGACCCTGGTATAGAGCACATTCAAGGGAAAAGGTAAGACATGTACATACGAAAGAAGCAGAAGATACATTTAGGAAATTATTGGAGAGTAGGGTGTTTGAGGGGAAGTAGTTATTGCTGAGGCTGAGATCATGAAAAACTTTACCAATAAAGCTTTTCCTTACTAAACTAATGTTGTGAATAATGGAGAACCATCAGAAGATCTTAGGTAAGGAAGTGAATTTTCGGGGGAGGAACTAACCTGAGAAGTTGAAGAGTGTAGGTTTGAGAACTTTCTGAGGAATAATTGATAGAGTTTAATGACTACTTCCATGAGAGAAATAAGAATGGAGTGGTGAAGAGTAAATTTAGAGTTTCTGATTTGGTAGACTGTCTTTGTTAGGGAGGAGTAAGAAAGCATCCCATTTTGACGTAAGTTTTATATGACCAATGACGCCAAGTGAATATGCCTACAAACAGAAATAGAGACCTTCAGTCTGGGAGAAAGTTCTCAAGATAATATGGTTATGGGAGTCATTTGGAACCAGGGGAATTTCACTTCTAGGAGGATGTTCATTGATAAATGGGCCAAACACAAAATTAAAGGGAAACACATGTTGAAGTAGCACCTAGAGGAGAAGCTGGCAAAGGAGACTAGAGATGAAAGAGCTAGCAACTGCAATCTTGGCTACTTTAATTATCTGATGTTCCCTATACTCCCAGGGTAAGTGAACTGAAAAAATAAGAGTATTTTAATTTTATGATTGGACGATAAAATACCTGTCACCAATTTAGGACATTCTAAACATTTAGTAAAACTCAAGAAAACCTGTTATTGATTGACTCAACCAGCTAAAAGAAACATACAAAATCTAAAACATACAAAAATGATTCTTAAAAATGATTCTTAAATTCAAGAATACCAGAAGTCTTTGATACTTGAATTTTAGTTCTGGCTCTTCCATTAATTTGGGCAAATCATTTAAATTTTGTGACCCTGTTCTCTCATCTTAAAACAAAAACAAAACTGATGCTGGCATAACTAAATGATATCTTAGGTTGCTTCTAGCTCTAAAATCTAGAGTTTTTCCAGGGACCCAAGCAAGTCTGAGATGGAAATCTTAAACAGATTCATGCAGGAGCAAACCTTGAAGTAGTAACTGTTTCCCAATCTCACCCTTTCCCCTTCTCAAATGAATATTGATTTAGACAGACCCTGTTATACACAAGGTATTGAATATTTTTCCAGTTCATGTCATGAGTATTTTTTTTTTTTTTAAATGAGTACGTTTTTGATCGCCGCTCATCCCACTCTGAGTCGTGTCTGGTGTCACACCAATGGAATGACATCCATTCATACTCCACCTAGAAGAGCCTCTATTTCCTTGGTGCCTTTGAAGTGGCTCATCAAGTACATGAGACTCCCCTTCTTCCTTAAAGAATCGCAAGCTTTCTTCAGGGAGCTGTTTTAAATGAGACGGGGCTCTCTAAACTGAGGGACTCAACGCGGTTCAGTACACACTCGGGACCTCAGAACTACAGACTTTCACCTTCCCCCGAATTAAAAACATAAAATAAAATAAAAACCACTTTACTTTTAACAAGCCTAATGATTCCCTTGCAAGAGGTATTTACTTTATTATTAAGTAACAATGGTGCAGGACAAATGCGGAATTGAGTAAGGTCCTTCTTCACTTGATGATTGCAAATACTTGTACCGAGCACTGTGCCGGTTCGGAGATTTACATCAATTAAAAAAAGACAATCCTCGTGAGGTCGTCCCCGATTTGGGTTGCAGCAGGGAGGGAACTTCCGCATGCACAGTCTTCCAGGTGAATAACTGGATATTTCCTTAAGGAGAGGATGCGAAGTCTTCTGCCCAAGAACACAAACCAACCAACTCCCTTTTCTTCGCGCCGCCTCATTAGACTCCTGGATCGTAAATACGTTCTCAACGCCGCGCACTCACAACAGCTTGACTCCTTCCAGTGGCTGCACCAGCCCGGCGGCAGGCTCCGCCCCGAGGCCCGCCACATTCCCAGCAGGCGCCACGCGGGCGCCGTAGCCCCGCCTCTTGCGGCGCAGTGATGGCGGAATTGGACATAGGGCAGCACTGTCAGGTGGAGCATTGCCGGCAGCGAGGTGATCTAGCAGTCCTTAGCTCCGGGCATGGTAGACTGGGTCCCACTGTGTCTTCACTGATAGTGGTGGCGGGTGAGGGGGGTGCTGGGGCGGGGTGAAGCCTGAGGAGGCAGGGTGGATTCGTCTCTCCTGGGTCTGCAGTGAGATGTGTTGGTATTTTTTTCTTGCTCCAGAGCCTTTGGAAGAGACTTGTGGTCTCTTTAGAAGCGAACCATGCAATTTCCGAAAACGTGCCTTGCAGCGTTCCCTTTGTTTTTCGAGTGTCCCTGGCCAAGAACTTGTTGTGTCCTTCCTACTCCTTTTTGATGTCGGGAGACTTGTGTTCCCCTCTGATCCCGCCACTACAACCTTGGGCAAGCCACTTTCCAAACTTTTTAATCTGTTACTTACCTGTCAGATGGAGTCGGGTGAGTTCAGTTTTTCACCTGTCTTCGTGGCTTCTCGTGAGAATGCCCTTAGCTTTTAGCAGATTCTCGTCCTCAGACTATTCTGCTAAATGATCTTTATGCTCACTCAGTTCTTTGATTGAATATTGTTGACTCAACAAACATTTACCAAGCATCAATTTTGGTGCTGGAACTACATAGGAGGGTATAAAATACAGTCTTTTCCATAGAAAAGCTTTCAGGATAATGTGCATTTTGGAGCATTAGTAAAGTGATGTTCTCTATACAGTCAACTGAGAGCCCAATCTAATAGCCAGTGGAAGTGTGGCACAAGCTTTAAGATGTCCTACACTTGGACAGGGAAGTTTCCAAAGCATTAGAGCGATACAGAATGCTCAGTCTTTGGTATCTGGGTTTTGCTTCAAATGTGTGCCATCACAGTTGACAGTTACTACATAGGGTGGCAAATAGGTTTCATCTCTCCTTGCAGCTTCAGTTATTGGTTGTAGGTACCCGGTGAAAAGAGGACTCGGAGATTTAGCCCAGTTTTATTGGGAATGCCATAATGGTTTAGTGATACTTGCTGTGGGCAGCGGGGGAAAAGGGCACACTACCCTCTATGTTCTTCTAACTTACAGTCTTTATGTGTATATTTTACCACTGGCTGTCATGGCCAGCCATTCAGAAAACCTGTATTTCCTTTCATAGAGAAGCTTAGCCAATTGGTTTTGACTGTTAGTTATGTTTATCTCTGGTATACCTGATTACTAAGTCCGTGGTATCTGCCAAATTCAGGGATCTCTTAAGATATAAATATATATGAAATGAGTCCAGGGTTTACCTCTTCAGAGTAGTGGAGAGAGGATTAGGATTTAGAGGGTATTGAGTGAGTATCCTAAATCTCGCTTAGCTTCTGTATGGAGAGAAACATAGTTTCCTACCTTGATCTTAACTCTTCCCTCTAGGTCCTTTTGGTCTGCATATAATATCTAATTCATCATCATGAGTTTCAAAATAGCAAGCATGTATAATTTTTCCAGTTTGAAAGAGACATAGAAGTTAGAATATTATGTGCTTCATTTTCTTCTTGTTGACAAATGAGTGCATACTTTTTTTGGTATGCAACATGCTCACAGTTTCATACCTCAGAACAACAGTGTCAATTCACTTAACTTACTTCTGAGGTAGAAGAACTGTATTCAGACTCCCTGGTCCTGCAGGCACAATTATCCAGGGATCCCTTTGGGTTATGATAGGACCTCTTTCTGTTTTAGTTAAGGTACCCTATAGAATGAGACCTTTTCGGGAGCAACTGTAGTCTTCTCTAAAATGTACCTTTTGTTTTCACTTTGTAAAAGTGCGATTGGACATACCAGCTTCACTTGACTGTATAGTTTCAGGTGCACAATATAGAGATTTAGCAATTCATTTACTGCTCCGTGCTTACCATGATAAACGTAGTCATCATCGTCACCATCCAATGTTATTATAATATTATTGACTACATTCCTTATGCTTTTCATTTGTGATTTGGTTATTTTATAACTGGAAGTTTGCATCTCTTAATCCCTTTATCTGTTTCACCCATTCTCCCACCCACCTCTCCTCTGGCAACCAGCAGTTTGTTTTGTGTACTTAAGAGTCAGGTTTTTTGTTTGTTTCTGTTTAAAGTTCCACATGTAAATGAAATCATATGGTATGTCTGTTCTGTCTTATTTCATAGTGATACCCTCTAGTCCATGCATGTTGCCACAAACGGCAAGGTCGCATTCTTTTTTATGGCTGAGTATTATTCTGTAGTATATTTACGTACCACATCTTTTTTTTTTTTCCTTAAGATTTTATTTATTTATTTATTTATTTGTCAGAGAGAGAGAGAGAGAGCAAGCGCACACAAATAGGCAAAGTGGCAGGCAGAGGTGGAGAGAGAAGCAGGCTCCTTGCCGATTAAGGAGCTGGACGATGCAAGACTCCATCCCAGAATGCTGGGATCATGACCTGAGCGGAAGGCAGTGGCTTAACCGACTGAGCCACCCAGGCATCCCTTACGTACCACATCTTTATCCACTCATCTATCATTGGACACTTGAGTTATTTCCATATCTTGGCTATTGACAATAATGCTGCAGTAAACATAGGGGTGCATATATCTTTTTGAATTAGTGTTTTCATTTTCTTTAGGTTAATGCCCAGTAGTGAAATGATTGGATCACATGGTATTTTTTTTTTAAAGATTTTATTTTATTTATTTATTTGACAGACAGAGATCACAAGTCGGCAAGAGGCAGGCAGAGAGAGAGGAGGAAGCAGGCTCCCCGTAGAGCAGAGAGCCCGATGCGGGGCTCGATCCCAGGACCCTGGGATCATGACCTGAGCTGAAGGCAGCGGCTTTATCCACTGAACCACCCAGGCGCCCCTTCTTTTTTTTTTTTAATGGTATTTCTATTTCTAATTTTTTTTAAAGAGCCATTGTGACAGGTATAAGGTGATATCTCATTGTGGCTTTTATTTGCATTTTCTTGAGGGTTAGTGATTTGAGCATCTTTTCCTGTATCTATTGGTCATTCTTATATCTTCTTTGGAGAAAGGTCTATTCAGGGCCTCTGCCCATTTTTTTAAATGAGGTTATTTGTTTTTTTTTTAAATCTTGAGTTGTATAAGCTCTTTATATATTTTGGATATTAATCCCTTTTCAGATACATCATTTGCAGATATCTTGTTCCATTCAGTAGGCTGCCTTTTTGTTAATGCTTTCCTTTGATTCACAAAACTTTTTTATTTGTTATAATTCCAAGTTTATTTTGTTTTTGTTACCTTTGCCTTAGGAGACTTACCTAGAAAATGTTGCTAATGCTGACGCAAGGAAGGAAGTTATTGCCAGTATTTTCTCCTAGGAGTTTCATGGTTTTAGGTTTCACATGTAGGTCTTTAATACATTTTCAGTTTATTTTTATGCCTGGTGTAAGAATTTTTTTTTTGTTTCATTCTTTAACAGGTAGTTGTTTAGTTTTCCCAACACCACTTATTTTATTTTTTTAAAGATTTTATTTATTTATTTGACAGAGAGATCACAAGTAGGCAGAGAGATAGGCAGATAGAGAGAGGAGGAAGCAGGCACCCTGCTGATGCGGGGCTCATTGCGGGGCTCGATGCAGGGCTCGATGCAGGGCTGGTTGTGGGGCTGGATGTGGGGCTCGATCCCAGGATCCTGGGATCATAACCTGAGCTGCAGGCAGAGGCTTTAACCCACTGAGCCACTCAGGCGCCCCAGCCAACACCATTTATTGAAGAGACTGTCTTTTTCCCATTATTTAATCTTGCCTCCTTTGTAATAGGTTAACTTGACCATAATAAGATTTTAGACCACTGTTTTCATTTTCATTTATCTCCATGTATTTTTTTAATTTCCTTTTTGATTTTTTGGTTACCCACTCATTGTTTGGTAGCATGCTACTTAGCCTCCAAGTATTTATGTTCCTTCCAGATTTTTTCTCTTGTAATTTCTAGTTTCATACCTTTGTGGTTAAAAAAAAGATGCTTGATAATGATTTTAGTCTTCCTAAATTTATTGAGACTAGTTTTGTGGCCTAATAGGTTATCTGTCTTAGAGAGTGTATGTATTTGAATGTATTCTGCTGTTTTTGGATGGAATATTCTGTGTCTGTATTAAGTCCATCTGGTCTAATGTTTCATTCAAAGTCACTGTTTCCATATTGATTTTCTGTTTGGATGATTAACCCACTGATGCAAGTGAGTTGTTAAAATGCCCCACTATTGGGCGCCTGGGTGGCTCAGTGGGTTAAGCCTCTGCCTTCGACTCAGGTCATGATCTCAGGGTTCTGGGATTGAGTCTCACATCGGGCTCTCTGCTTGGCAGGGAGCCTGCTTCCTCCTCTCTCTCAGTCTCTCTCTGCCTGCCTCTCTACCTGCTTGTGATCTTGCTCTGTCAAATAAATAAATAAAATCTTTAAAAAAATAAAATAAAAAAATGCCCCACTATTATTGTATTGCTGTCAGTTTCTCCCTTTGTTAGTAATTGCTTTATGTTTTTGAATGCTCTTATGTTGGGTGTATAGATACTTGTTATATGCTCTTGTTGGGTTCCTTTTATCATTATGTGTCTTTGTCTCTTGCTTCCATGCTTGTTTTGAAGTCTATTTTGTGTGCTGTAAGTATTTTGGCTTCCATTTGCATGGTATGTTTTTCCACCCCTTCACTTAGAGTTGTATGTGTGTCCTTCACATTGTGGGGAGTCCCTTTTAGGCAGCATCTAGATGGATCTTGTTTTTTAATCCATTTGGTTGTCTCGTATCTTTTGATTGGAGCATTTACTCCACTTAAATTTAAAGTAATTATTGAACAGTGTGTACTTATTGCCATTTTGTTACTTGTTACCTCTTGTGGTTTGATGGCTTTCTTTAGTGTTAGGCTTGGATTCCTTTCTCTTTATTTGTATATATCTCTTATAGGTTTTTGATTTGTGGTTATTTTGAGGTTTGTAACATGCATATGGCAATTTATATTAAATTGATGTGGTTGCTTAAGCTTGAACACTGTTCTAAAAGGATTATATTTTTATTCGCCCACCCACGTTGTATGTATATGTCATATTTTACATCATTTTGTGTATCATTGGACTTGTTTTTGTAGATACAATTCATTTTACTGCTTTTTAACCTCCATGCTGGTTTTATAAGTGATTTTTGTCTACTACCTTATATGTTTGCTCTTACCTGTGAAATATTTTCCTTTCATAAGTTTCTTCTAGTAGGGCCTTTTCTTTCTACTCAGAATTCTCTTCAGTGTTTTGTGTAAAGCTCATGTAGTGGTGATGAACTCTAAGTTTTGTTTATCTGGATGATAACTGCTGGGTAGAGTGTTTTTGGTTGCAAGTTTTTTCCTTTCAGCACTGCAAATATATCATGCCGCTATCTTGTGGCCTATAAAATTTCTGCTGGAAAGTTAGCTAATAGCCCTATGGGGTTTTCCTTGTATATAGCTTTTTTTTTTTTTTTTTTAAGTTTTTCTTCCTGTTTTTAAAATTACCCTTTTGGGAAGGGGGTAGGAGAGGCAAAAGGAGAAGAGAGATAACATTAAGCAGGCTCCATGTCCAGCATGGAGTCCAATGCAGAGTTTGATCTCATAACACTGAGATCATGACCTAAGCTTTAATCAAGGGTCAGATGCTTAACCGACTGAGCCACCCAGGTGAACCTAAAATTATCTCTTTTTCGTTACTTTTTGTCATGTTAATTATTATGTGTCTTGGTATGGACCTCCTTGGGTTCATCTTGTTGGAGGTTCTCTTTGCTTCTTGGATATGGATATCTGTTTCCTTCCTCAGATAAGTTTTCTGCCGCCTTTTCTTCTTTTCTGGGATCCCTATAATGTGAATGTTAGTATACTTGATGATGCTGATTTCCTCTATCCTATTCTAATTTTTTATTATTTTTTCTTTTTTACTCTTCAGCCTGGTTGCTTTTCATTATCCTGTCTTCTGAATTTGTGGTCTGTTCCACTGCTCCCCTTATCTGTTCTCTCTAGTGTGTTTTTTATTGCAGCTATTAAATTCTTCATTTCCAACTGGTTCTGTTTTACATTTTCTATATCTATGTTGAAGTTCTCTGAATTTCATCCACTCTTTTCTCAAGTCCAGTGAGTATCTTTGTGACTGTTATTGTTTTCATTATTGGATATATTGCTTATCACAGTTTCTTTTAACTCTTTTGCTGTGATTTTTTGTCCTGTTCTTTAATTTGGGACATATTTTTCTCTCATATTGTGTAACTCTGTTTCCATGTATTTGGGAGATAAGCTATGTATCTTGGTCTTGAAAGTTAGTGTACATGTGTTGAAGAGGTCCTGTGGTGCTTGTAGTACAATGTCACCTGGTCACCAGAACCAGGTGCTCCGGGGTGTCTTCTCTGTGGGCTGCATGTGCACTATTGTGGCTGAGCCTCATTTGCCTTCAGCCCTGTTGGCTGCAGTGACCTACTTTGCTTCCTGTGGGCACACTGGGCAGAGTTTGGTTCCTGCACTGTTGAGAGGCCTTGGTGGGCTTGGAAGTGGCTGAGCCAGCATTCAGAGTAGGTGTGCGCAGACAGCCTCTATGGTCCAACTGAATGGTGGGGCTTTCTCCCTGAGTGGCCTGTTAAAAGCTGTTAGAACTTTGGGCGTGCTGTGTGTGGGGTTATCCCCCACTTCCCCAGGGCAGGAGTCACTTTGGAGTGGCACTGGTCCCTACTGGGACTGCTTGGAGATACGGCAGGAGAGGAGCCCCTTTGGAGGGAGTCTGCTGAGGTGAGCGGATTGGATGGGGTAGGAAGGCAGGTGAATGCATGGACAGAGGCACCCTGCTAGCAAGGTAGTTGGAGAGTGTTAGTGCTGGTTTCTCCAAGGCCCCTGCTATCTAATCTGGGAGAGGAAAAGAGAAATGGTGCCCTCTAGCACTTCGGTTCTTGGACAAGTCTGAGAACCCTGTCCCTCTAGTGCACATTCTGAGATTAGTAAATAAATTGCCTTCATGAATACCCAGGTGTTTTTCAAACAGCTATTTCTGTGCTAGTTGCCAACAGTTACTTATTCTAGCTTTTTAAGTGTGAGGACTCCGTTTACTATTGCTTCCAGCTCTAAAAGATTGTTAAAATACCTGGAGGTGACCCCTGCTGATTTTAAAAGCTTGCGAAGTTTAGCCTCACTGGTTTTCAAAGCCTGATATTATGAGGACTTCTCTTCCCAATGCAGGTTTCCAGTAGCTGGGGTGCTTAGTATGGGCTCTGATCCTCTAGCTTCTCTGTGCTTGTGTCCCTATTTATGTCTAGTCTTACCACAGGTTTGGATCCCAACTGTGTCTCCACTACTCCTACCCTTCCAGTATGTCCTCCCTCTGTAGCATTAAGCGTGGAAGGTCTGTTTCATGTCTTAAGGTGTTTTTCAGGGGTAGCTTTTATCTTGGTGTATCTGTGGGAGGAGATGAGCTTAGGGTCCTCCTACACTGTCATCTTCTCATTGCCCCAAAACTTCACTATTAAACACTTTGCTTAGCATTGCTAGGTTAGTAAACTGTGGAATCAGAATTGAAACCTAGGATTTTCACTTCAAATGCAGGATTTTTGCAGCATACAGTACTCAGAACACATAATAAATCTGGGCATCCAAAAAACCCCAGTACTTTTTTTTTTTTTTTTTCTGATTTAGCACACTACTACAAAGAACATTTAATCTCCTGATAATCCAGTCATTCCCAGAGTGCTTGAGGTTGTGATAGCTTTTATTTAACTACTACTTCCTACACTAGGATATAGGTCAAAAAGAAGAGTTCTCCTATAGAGGTAGTTCAGTACTTTAAGGATCTTTTTGTTTAAGAAAACTAAGTCAAAATCAGATACTGACCAGTGCATGTAACATTTCCCCCTCAATTTTAGATTTTCTTCCTTTTGTGTGTGATGGTTGTTCAGGAGTATTTTGGTAAGTTAAATTTTTATACAGGATTTGGGAGTAATTTTAGTGTTTGTAATATGAGATTTATTTCTGAAAAGCAGAATGATTTAAAATAGTTTTTAATTTAGCCACTGATATTTTATATTATAGTAATTACTTAGAAAATATAGTCCTAGGCTCTGATTACTTGTGCATACATGTGGGTAAACTTTAAACTTTCAGAAATGAATTTGTCTTTGTGATTTTACATAGAAGTTATATTGTGGTCTTGTAATCATAATGAGAGAACATAGCGACAATATAAAGAATATGGTAGAAGGGACTCCCTGGGTGGCTCAGTCGGTTGAGCATCAGCCTTTGGTTCAGCTTATGGTCCCAGGATCCCAAGATTGAGTCCTGCATCCGGCTCCTTCCTCTGGAGGGAGCCTGCTTCACCCTCTGCCTGCTGCTCCCCCTGCTGGTGCACATGTGCTCTCACTGTCTGTCTGTCTCTCTCTCTGACAAATAAGATCTTAAAAAAAAAATAAAGAGTAGGGTAGAAAACAATCCAGGTACTTCATTAATTAAAATGAAGAATCTAGCCTATACATTTCTTAAATTGGATATCACATGTCCATTGCATATACATCACATGCAAGATAAAACCTGGGAACTAAACCAAAGATTTTGAAAAAGGTCTTTTCTTTGTAATTAAACTTTTGTGTTTTAGGCCTTCTTCTTTTTTTTTTTTTTTTAAGATTTTATTTGAGAGATAACATGAGCATGAGTGGGGATACAGGCAGAAGGAGGAGAGGGAGAAGCAGACTCCCCACTGAGCAGGGAGCCCCATGCAGGACTGGATCCCAGAGCCCCTGGGATCATGACCTGGGACGAAGGCAGATGCTTAACCTACTGAGCCACCCAGGTGCTTCCATGTTTTAGGCATTTAACTTATTAAATAGAATATGGAAAAAATTAATTATCTTCAGAAGGTAACTCAAAGATTTATTAGGATTAAATAAAAGTAATGCATATTTTTCAGAAGTAGAGCATTTCTTTGACATTTTATTCCTGATGGTCTTTGACAAATAAAAGGAATTAAAAGACTCTTTGTATTTGCACATACCTTGAAGCATTCAGAGGCAGTTTAGAGTGGTGAATTATTTTTATTCATATTGAAATTGAACAGTTGGGTTTTGAAACTTTTGAAACTATAGATGCTCTTTTTTTTATGATTTTATTTATTTCTTTGACAGAAAGTTCACAAGTAGGCAGAGAGGCAGGCAGAGAGAGAGGGGGAAGCAGGCTCCCTGCTGATTAGAGAGCCCAGTGCAGGGTGCGATCCCAGGACCCTGAGATCATGACCTGAGCTGAAGGCAGAGGCTTAACCCACTGAGCTACCCAGGTGCCCCTAGATGCTCTGTCTTTAATTTGTCTGCCATTTCAGTTTATTCTTATATGCGGAGTTAATGTATTGTGAGTCTTCTTAATGATACTAACCATTAACCATTTAATGTAGTGTGAGTATTCTTAAGGATACTAACTATCTAATTACTACAGTTATCTTTAAGCACATTACTTGATTGAATTTGAACTTTTTTTTTTTTAAATTATTTAAGCCTTGAACACAGAAGCAGGGAGTCACACAGCTGTCCTGAGGTATGTTACTAGTTCTAATAAAATGCTTGTATTTATGTACTTTCATTCAGAATTTGAATTTAAATCCAGTCAAGGTACCACAGATTAAAATTTGGCATACTGAACCAGTTCTGTAAAGAGGCTCTTAGTTCATTTTCTGTTATTTTTCTCAGTTTGTTTTAAAGAAAAATTGGTTTCCTTGGTAGTTATAAATTGTTATCAATCTTAAACATTGCAATTAGGTTTAGGTAGCCCACTTACAGCTTTAGGCTCTATATTTTTATTATTTATTTATTTATTTATTTATTTATTTTTAATTTCTTTGACAGAGAGAGATCACAAGTAGACAGAGAGGCAGGCAGAGAGAGAGAGAGAGAGGGAAGCAGGCTCCCTGCTGAGCAGAGAGCCCAATGTGGGACTCCATCCCAGGACCCTGAGATCATGACCTGAGCCGAAGGCAGCGGCTTAACCCACTGAGCCACCCAGGCGCCCCAAGGCTCTATATTTTTAAATCTACAATGGAGTTAACATTTTCATCATATATTCCTTCAAGTTTTCCTCCACCATTTTGTTCATTGTCCTTATTTCCTAGTGTTAGGATTCGGTATTTACAAATTGTTCTCACTCAATCAGCCTTAGATCACCAGGAACAATAAAATCCTCACTCCAGTTCTGATCTAATTGAAAGATTGATAAGAGCAGTTAGATAGAAGCCAAAATCACCAGGAACAATAAAATCCTCACTCCAGTTCTGATCTAATTGAAAGATTGATAAGAGCAGTTAGATAGAAGCCAAAATATCACTGTTACTACTCACAGAGGAAACTGAATGATGAAGCTTAGTGTGGTGTAGTGTAGGTTGCAAAGGAAATCCAGAATTAGGCAGATTTTCCTACTAGTCACAGCTGCGCTTCACCAGGTTAGGCCTCCTCCTAGAGAGCAGTTCAATTCCAAGAGGGAAGAAGAGAAAGCTGACCCCACCATACCAAAGGTAATTTTCTCATATTTATAAGTTGCTTCATCTCCTTTTGTCAGAGAAAGGAAGGAAGTTAAACTGAAGCGAGTTGATTTGGCAGAAAGCTTTGTGCCTTACATTTTTCAGTTGATATTTTATTCCTGCCCAACATTTACCAAGCACTTTACTAAGGATTTTTATATCTGTTTTCTCAATTATAGAAAGTTAAATGAGCTTCAGTCCAAATCTGGTCCTTTGAGGCTTAGGTGATTTATGTTAGGAAAATGAAAATTAACATTTTGATACTGTGCAAATTAATTGGAGGGAAGTAGTCGTATAGTAAACATATTGATGTTTCTTCAGCTTGTTAATCTTCTCTGTGCTTTCCTTTTTCTTACGATATCACTTGTCTCTCATAGAATGTCAATTAAGATCTCCTTAAATCATGAAATGAAAATAATTTTACCATTAGATCAAATTTGGAAAAATAGTCAATTCCAACAAGATATAACTACCATTTATATAGAGGAATGCTCTTTGGTTGTAGATTTTAAGAGATTATTTCACTAAATTCATTCAACTCTAAAAACCTAGTTACTTAAAACTCAAACTAGCCTGACCTGGATTTTTTTTTTTTTTTTTAAATCTTGTAAAATCTCTTCTTCCTCAATATTTGCTGGTAATATAATAAAAAATGCAGAATAGAGCATGTAGCAAAATAGAGAATGTATCATTGTAAAAACCATCTTTAACCTTCTGTATCATGGATAAACATACTTTTAAATTTTCTCATACATATATATAATATATATTTAACTTCCTAAAATCAGCATAGAAAGTAGTTATGACTTGCCACTTGAGGGTTGATGAAATGATCACCTAAACATATTATTATGGGGGCATCTCAGGACTGATACAGAGTAGAAGACTAAAATTATGAAGAGTAACTGAATAGTCATTTTAACTTGACTTAGAAGATAAATATACCATAGTAAGAAAGTATGAAAATGTAGAACAGTCAGCAGAGTAATCCTTTCTCACACCTTATTATAATCTGTTCTGTGAGAGTACATAAGTTGTTCTGACAAGTTTAAGCAAAAGCGATATGAATGTTGCCTTCCAAAATAGATGTTGATTTGCTTTAAATGTGAAATATATAATGCCATTTTCCCCTTTGTACATTTTTCAGGTGACTGTAATCAATGAGAAACTGAAGTCAGATAAGCCTACATCTTACCCATGCTCATTCAAGGACTGTGCTGAAAGAGAGCTTGTGCCAGTTAAATGTCCTTATTGTGAGAAGAATTTTTGCCTGAGGTGATCACTGAGATCATTCAAATTCTGTGTATCTGTTTAAGTTGTATGCTAATTTATGAAGTAGTGTCACTCTTCTGTTGCTCATAGGCACCGTCATCAATCGAATCATGAATGTGAAAAACTGGAAATTCCTAAGCCTCGTATGGCTGCCACTCAGAAACTTGTTAAAGATATTATTGGCAAGTATCTAGAAAGCTTGTTTTGTTGTTTCCTTATTGCTGTATATTTGTTACAGAGTATTGCTTCTTTGATCAGCTGGCACATTATGGAAGGTGTTTTTATGGCCTCAATGTTTATAACTTGGTATAGATTTTGATGACATTTTTGTGACCGTATTTCTCACAAGGGCTGTGTGACCAGTGAAAAACTGGGAATTCTATGGATGTGCCCTACCAGATGTTCTCTTTTACTGGGCCACTTAGATCAGCTGGTTAACTATCATGGCTAGACATGGTATTCATAAGGCCAATATAATGGTTTCCTTTCTTTAAATATGAATCTTAAGTCTCATCAGCTATCTTATGAATGTTGCTGATAATCTGAAGCACCAGGAAGAATGTGTCTGTGACTTAGACCAGTCTTTCTGGCAATATGTTCAGAATTTTCATTCTGAATTAGGATAGTACCTTTATTTAAGATCTTCTGTAGCCAAATCTCAAAGTTTTTTGCAGAGTTGTTAGCGGTTGTTTTGGATTAAATGGACTTAAATTGGAAAAAAGCACATAACAGTGAGTTTTTTGACATGGGGATTGCTTAGGTCAACCTCACTGTATTTTTTTAATGGTCATGTAAAATAATACCAACAAAAAGAATGTGGTCTCTATATAGTTCCATTGTATGTAATTTGTATACATTTCAAGGCCATAACTAATAAATAGTAATTGGTAGAACTCTGGAAAATGTAATGTAAAAATTCTGTGTGTCTATATGCTTATACTTATTTCTTAGATTCTAAGACTGGAGAGATAGCAAGTAAACGACGGAAAGGTGCAAAAAATAGTGAAACAGCTGCAAAGGTAGCACTGATGAAATTAAAAATGCATGCTGATGGAGATAAGTCATTGCCACAGGTGGGTCTCAGAGATTTTTGAAAAACAGAAGTGTTCCAGAGACGGCTGAAGCTCCCTTTTTACTCTTCTCACCCATCAAGTAACAGCTAATCTGAACCTGATAATGTATTGTTACTAGTATGATATGGTAATACTTTTTTTTTTCCACTTTACAAAGTATCAGTGAACCATCTGCATTCTTTTTCAACCTTTTTTTTTTTTCACTTGGCATCATGTTTTTAACACTTACCTATGTGGATACATTTAGTCTAGTTCATTCATTTTGATACCATTTTGATGGTGCACATTATTCCATAGTATGAATATACCACAATTTATCCATTTTCCTAACGAACAGACTCAGATTTTTTCTAATTTTTTTGCTATTATAAACTGTTCTTGTAGTGAACATCCTTGTGTATGTGTGGGAACATTTTTCTAGGGTGGTCCCTTTAAGATTCCATAATATCAATTATATTTAATATAATATCCCAGTACATATGTACATACATGCATACATATGTATATATGTACCTTAACACAGTTTCAGTAAGTAATACCTAGTTCTGTTGTATACTAGCCTTATGTGTTACATACTCTTGCTGGTTTTTGTTCTGTTTCATTTAAAGATTGTTGATTTTATAACCCTTAAAGGATGGAGACCATCAATCAGATTGAAAAATGGTACTTTAAGGAATATATCTAGAAATAGAAAAGCTGGGTCATGGGGTTTCCTCATCTTCTGTTTTACTAGATAGTATCAACTTTCTGTTGTCAGTGGTTGTACAGATTATCTCCTTCCTATAGTATCTGAGAGTTTTCAGTGTTTCTTGTTTCTATCTTACTGAAGTTTAAAGTTGAATTTCCTTTGTGACTAATAAGGTTCAGTTACTTTGCATTGATTTATTGGCCATTTTATGTCTGAACTATTCATGTCCTTTGCACATTTTTTCTGTTGGGTGTTTTTCCCCCACACTTTAAAAAAAGGTTATAGGATTTTTATATATTCTGAGTTCCAATGCTTTCTTGACTAAACTTGACTAAACAAGTTTCACATTCTTTTCAGTCTATGGCTTGTTTTCACTTTGTTTTTGACTCTTTAGTGGTTCAGACTTTAGAATTTTAATGTACTCAAATTTAATTTCCTTAAGATTTGTACTTTTTGAAATAAGTTCTTTTCTTATATCATCCTTTAAAAGTTAAAAAAAAAAAATTATCAACTCTTTGTTCCATTTGGAACTTAGTTGTAAGTGAAGTAGATTTTTTCCTCCCAGTAGGGTTCTATACATTTGTTCTATACATTTAGGATTAATTTATGGATCTCAGTTCAGTTCCTTTGGTCTGTTTGTCTGTCTTTGCATCAAGAGCAAACTGTCTTAATTATCATAGTTTTGTAATAAGTAGGACAAGTCTTTCCACCTTATTCTTTGCTTCCAACCACATCTGTTCTTGGTACTTTATTCATTTGTAAATATTTTAGGATCACTTTGTCCTGTTCTTTGAAATTGCAATTTTGATAGGAATTCTCACATTTTAGATTAGCAGCAGTTGACATCTTTTAGAGTTTTGATTCTTCTCATCCACATCTAATGATTTCCAATTTTTCTTTAGGTCTTTTTTTTAATTGTCTTTAACATTTTTATAATGTTTACACATATTTATATATCTTAGGCTCCTCATCATTTTTGTTGCCATTTTAAGTGACAACATCTTTTTAAAAAAATTACATTTTCCTAATGGTTATTGCTCATTGTTGTATGTTGTCTTTCTGTCTAGCAAATAACCTTTCTAATAGTTCCCATAGTTTGTAGATTTTCTGGGATGTTTTCTGTGTAGCCATATCTTCTGTGAATGACAGTTTCGTAGGTTTCTTTTTTTCCCCCCAAATTTTCTTTTCTTCTTCTCCTTATTTATCTTAGTGCATTGGCTGAGATCTCCAGAAGTCCTGAAATAATGTGGGTGAGAGTAGGCATCTTCATCATTTTTCTGACTTTAATGCAAATGACTTTAACGTTTCATCATTAAATGCTGTGTTTGCTATACAGTTTTGGTAGTAGCCTTTATCAGGTTAGCAGTACTTCTTTCTATTCCTAGTTTGCAAGGAATTTATATCATGAATAGGTTTGAACTCTTCCTGTAAGTTTTTTCTACATCCAATAGGATAATTGGGTGTCTTTTCTTACCTTACAAATGTTTTAAATTACATTAATCGATATTTTTGTTGAATCATCCATATATTCCAGAATAAACTGCTTGACTCTGGTATGTAATTCTTCTAAAATGCACTAAGTGATGAGCTATTATTTAGTGTTTGATATTAGTACCTATATTATACACATAAAATTGAGTAGCTTTCTTTTTTATTCTTTGAAATCTTTGTAGTGAGTGGGGATTATTTGTTCCTGAAGGGTTGTTTTAAAGGGTATTAACAACCTTTGAATCTGTTGCCTTTTTTGAGGGGAGAATTTTGAATACTATTTCAATGTTTTAAATGGTTTGTGGTTTATTTGAGTAGCCCTTTCTTCGAAATTTTGGTAAATTTTTTTTTAAAGGATTTTATTTATTAGAATTGGAGCACCCGAGTATGGACTAGGGGGAGGGGCTGATGGAAAGGGAGAGAGAGAATCTCAAGCTGACTCTTCATTGAGTGCAGAGCCAGTGTTTGGGCTCAGTGTCAGGACCTTCAGATCATGACCTGAGCTGAAATCAAGAGTCAGGACACTTAATCAACTGAGCCACCCCAAATTATAGTAAACATTAATTTGTCTTAAAACTTCCTATTTGGGGGCTCCTGGGTGGCTCAGTGTGTTAAGCCGCTGCCTTCAGCTCAGGTCATGATCTCAGGGTCCTGAGATGGAGTCCCGCATCGGGCTCTCTGCTCGGCGGGGAGCCTGCTTCCCTCTTTCTCTCTCTCTGCCTGCTCTCTGCCTACTTGTGATCTCTCTCTGTCAAATAAATAAATAAAATCTTAAAAAAAATAAAATTCCTGTTTGGTGTAGATTTTCCAGTTTATTGTTAAAGAGTTGTTCGTTATTTTCTTATGTTCCAAAATCTCTCTTGTGTCTTTAGTAATCATTCCATTTCAATGTTAATATTTTTTATTGATACTTTGTTTGCCCCTTGAACAATCTTGCTAGAGGTTTGTGTATGTGTGTTTTAATTTATGTTTTAGTTGTTTTAGAGAACCATATTTTGGTTTTAGTGCCCTCTTTACTGTTTTGTTTTTGCCTTTTTTTTTCTTTCTGTGTCACTGAATTCTGCTTTTATATTTCCTTTTATCTACTTTGCTTAGATTTTCTGATCTTTTTCCATCTTCTTGCAGTGAATTTATTTTCAGCTTGTTCGGGTGTGGGGTTTTTTCTTAACTTGATAGTTTAAACAGAGAAAAGTTACAAGAGGAGTACAGAGAATTTTTCCATATTCTTTATCCGAAGGTACCAATTATTTACATCTTGCCCTTTTTGCTTAGTCATTTGCAGTCTTTCTCCTGCCACCACCCCTCACCCATTTGTGTGTATTCTTATGCATGTCTGTGTGTGTATGTGCATACTAATTTTTGGTCTGCTTGATCTATCAGTCTGAGACTGAGGGTGCTAAAATCTCCCACTATAACTGGTTTTGTCGGATTTCTTTCTTGTAATTCTAATGGTTTTTCTATACATATTTATTATCAGGTACATGGAATTTCTTATATCTTTATGAATTTTGCCTTAAATCTTATTTTGAATGATAATACTGTTTCACGAGCTTTCTTTTAGTGACTACTTAACTATTACATCTTTTTAAAATCCCTTTATATTTAACTTTTCTGTTTTGTTTTAGGGTGTCTCTTGTAAGCAATATATAGCTGGACTTTGTTTTCTTTAATCCAGTTTGATAGTATCTTTTATAGGTGAGTTGAATCCATTTATATTGTGATCACTGATACATTTGAACCTATTTCTTCCATCTTATGCTTTTTGCTCATCAACCTTTTCCTTTGATTATTTCCTCTCTCCTCACGTCTTTTGTATTGATTACATTTTCTATATTCCCTTTTATTCTGCTGGTTTAAAACCATTGATTATAGTCATTGTTGGGTGATTATTTCTTAACATTTTCCCTTTTTTTTGAAATCTTGATTTGGTGGTTTTAAAATTACAAATGTAGTACATGCTTTTACAAGTGTAACCTTTAAAAGATGTATAAGGGGAAAAACCAACACACCATCCTTGGCCCATGTCCTTCCCATTAAGGCAGTGGTTCTCAATTGAGGGTGATTTTTGTCCCCTAGAGTTGCTTGTCACAACTGGACATGGGGATCCTATGGTATCTAGTGGGTATAGGCCTGAGATGCTGCAAAACCTCCTATTATGGATAGGACAGTGGCCACAGTAAAGAATTTTCTGATCCAAAATGTCAGTAGTGACAAGGTTGACAAGGGCTGCCCTAAGGTATCCAATAATATATTGTTCAGATTACTTTGCAGTTGTTTCATTACTGAAACATAATAGTAAAAATTTGTATAGCACTTACTTTGTTCCAGGCCCTCTCCTAACACATTTAATCATTGCAAGGAGCTTCTGATATAGGCACTATTATTTCTGCCTAGAAGGTAAGAAAATTCAGGCACAAAAAGTTTAAGTAATTCGCTAGTAGCATAGCTACTAAGTGGAGAACTACCAGTTGAAACCAGGTGGGCTGGCTTCAGAAGCCATGTTCTTAACACAGGTCATAGCTTATTGTGGGGAATGCCACAGGTCTGTAGCTATAACTTTTCCCCTTGCATTAAATGTGTTTGTATTTAGACACATGTACTTACATATATTATATATATACATACACACACACACACACACACCCATGTGTATGTGTGTATACATATAATTTTACATAAATGGAAATGTTTACTTGTATATGTATGCAAACACAAATTATCTTATGGTTATTATTTCATTATTTTATAAAAATGGCATCATATCATTTAGTCACCACTTTTTTCTTTTTAATACTCACTATATATTAGGCCCTGGGGATACAAGAGTAAATAAAAGTCCTTGCCAACATGGAGTTTATATTCCAAGGGGTGATAATGGCTATTAAATATTATATACGATACCATGTCAAATAGTGATTATGGCTATAAATAAAAATAAGGCAGGTTTAGGTGGGCTATATATCGTTATCTCTATATATCCTTTTCATTCATGCCAAGCAGAAATTCCCTCAAGGGAGTTGGTGTGGCTTTAAATCATTCTTTAAAAAACTAGGTAAATACTCCAGTTTGGATATACAGGTCTTTTTTTTTGCCATTTTTCTCTTGATGAACATTCAGTTTGTTTCTAGTTTTGGCTATTGTGCTAAATAGTCTCAATCTGGTTTCTTATTTCTGTGAGCTAAATTCCAAGGAATGTTTGCTTGGTCAAAGGGTATGTGTATTTTAAATCTTTGTAGGTGTTGCCAAACTGCTTTATAAAGAAGTTTACATTTCTTTATCTAAATTCTTTAGAATTTACATTTCTACTAGCAGCAGTTATTAAGTCAGCTTTTATTGACTGATTACACCATGCCGAGCATTGTTTTGTGGCTTTAAATTTTTTATCTCTTAATACACACACATTTGCTGGTACATTCCGTAACTGGAAATACTAGGATATTCTGTACTCTGTGTCCTTATTTCACAGATGAATAATCTGAAGTTGTTTAAGATCACTCAGGATGAGGCTGCCCACCTACCCAGTTTAATATACTGCCTCTTGGGGCCAGACATGAAAGTACCCTTTCCTCCTCCCCTGGTTTGCAAGTAGCTGTTATCCTTTTTAATGTTTTCCAGTCTAATGGCTATAAAAAGATATTTCTAATTGCTTTAGTTTGCATGTCCTTGACTACTGTTCAGTTTGAGCATCTTTTAATATGTTTGTTGGCCATGTGTAACTGCTCTTTTAGTCACCCATGATCCTTTGATCATTTTTCTCTTTGGTTGTCTATTAACCCATACTCATATCCTTTTATGTTGTTTGGTCAACTTATGGAAATTCTTGGAGTATAATAGATGTTAAATTTTTTTTTATCTATAATCAGTTTGCTTTGGAAATTACTTTTTTCAAAATCTAATACTCTGATTTTTCTTATGTATCTCATTGACATTATCAGTGGTTATTTTTTTCTAAGATTTGTCTTTTTTTTTTCCTGCTTTGGTTTTCTTTATTTTTTTGCATCTTGCATTTGTCTTTAATCCATACAGAATTTGTTTTTAGCATAAACTATGAGCTAAGGACCCAATTTTATTTTCTTCCAGTTTTTTAGCTAATTTTGTCATCACCAATTATTAAATCATTTCTCCTATTGAAGGTGTTATTTGGTATTTCAATTCATAATAAGTTTAAGATTTATTTTTACTGGGTCTATTTTTGGATTTCCTATTCCACTCATTTTTTACTCATATCAGTACCGACTTGATATGATGCAATAGCTTTATAGAATGTCCTAATACAATAATGTAAGTCCCATCTGTATTTTTTCTTAGCAGTTTTATTCTTTATTCACCCATATTATTCATCCTTATTATATTCAAATTAAACTATGGGTGGGGGGTTGGTCAAAGGGGTGAATGGGAGTGGGAGATACAGGCTCCCAGTTATGAAATGAATAGGTCATGGGAATAAAAGGCACAGCGTTGTAATATAGTCAATGATATTGTAATAGCATTGTATGGGGACAGATGGTAGCTGTGTGGTGCACATAGCATGATGTATAAACTTGTCAAATCACTATGCTATACACCTAGACTAATGTAATGTTGTATGTCAACTATGGTAAAAACAAAACAAAACAAACAAAAAAACCTCTTGAAATTTTCATGGTTGTCTTGATGGGACAAGGTTTTGAGTGACAGACTCCAGTAGGTAACTTTAAAGATTTTAGATTCTTTGAAGGAGAAATGGAGAAACTGAGAGAAATCATTATAAATAGAAAGAGAGAACACAGGATAGTGTTAGATATGTGGCTTCCCATGCCCCCCATTTCCCACAAGAATATAAGCTGTGATATTAGCGCCAATAGGATGTAAAGGTTTGGCCATTTATAAGAAGCCCCCTTTGGTATTCTCAGGAGGATTTATACCCTCTTGAACTCTTCCTCTTTGTAGTGGAGATTCTGGCTTCCTTCCTACTCACTAGGTGTAAGCAACTGAGTAAAAGGTCAATACATTGTTTAGTGATTTCTGTAAGTTAGGTAAAGTAAAATTCACTCTCCCAGCTAGTTTGGACTGTAAGTCCTGACTGAAATCGTTCTGAGGGATTCACTTTGGATTTGCATTGTAGGATATGTAATGTTGTCTAAGAATCCTGTAAGTCTTTCATTTATCTAGCTCCTGTTTTGTCTTCTGTAACATTTTGTTTTTCTTCATTTAAATCTTATTCCTTATTTTCATCCCTAATTATCTCATGGGTTTTGTTTCTGTTGTGAACAGAATATTTCCATCTACCTCTATATCCAGGTACTTACTGCCAATATAGAGAAAAAAAGGTGTTTCCTGTTCATCTTACTCAGTCACATCACCAAATTCTGTGATTTTTTTTTTCTTTGCCTTCATTTCCTAGGTAAACAATCACACCCCACTAACAAATAAGGATTGTTTCAATTTTAATTTTTCAGTAATTATACTGCTTAATTCATCTTCTGTACTGTATTTTCTAGAATCTCCACTGTAATGTTTCATAACATGATATTAGGCATGTGCTTACATTTTTAATTTTTAAAATATATAATTACCAATTTTTCTCTCAGAATCTAAAGTTACTTAGTATTGTATCCTCTTGAATAAGACAAGGAGTTTGACATGCTTTCACGTCCAGTTGAGTGTGTCTCATCCCTTCATCTTTGTTCACACAGGATTCTTTTTAAATCAGTAGCTGTTAAAAAATATCAACATATTTTTTGAATTTCTCCTTTCCTTAGGACTCACTTTTATTTTGAATAAGTACTATAGTTCATTCCTTTAAGAGTCTTCACTGGTAAACTTCAAGTCTTCTGAAAAAGCTCTTATTTTGCCCTCACTTGAGCTGGATTGTCCATTAGATTCTCTCAACTCTCTTAATACACTATTCATTGGTCACTGTTTATTATTGAGGAAGCATCTGTCAGTCTTGTTGCTTTATGGGTAATCAGTCTCTTTTTGGTAGTTAGGAATTTATGATATTTTCTAATTTTAGTGCAGTGTTTCTACATATGAATTTATTTTGATTGCTCAAGTTGGCCCTGGAGGTACATTTTTAATTTGACTTATTTTTTTTTACTTTTGGAAAATTATAGTCATTACCTGTGAATATTGCTTCCTTCTCTTAACTTTTGTTAGACATATTTTTGGATTTATAACTTCTATCTTTATGCCTATTTGTGCTACATTCTAGAGGACTTTCTCAATTACATCTTCCAATCAGTTAAACCTTTTCATTGAATATTATTGAAATTTCTCCTGTTTGAGTTTATTTCAGAAACTATATTTTAAAATGTTTATATTTCTCATTGGATCTTCATAGCTTGCCTTGTTTCGTTTCTGCCTATTTTTGATTCATACCTTTTTGGTCCCTTTTTATGGATATATCCATAAAAGTATCGTTTTCAAGTTTGTTTAGTTCATCTGCCTATGGTAAGTTAACCTTTGTTTTGAATTTCCATTTATAGATCGCACATGTCTGTCTTAAGTAGGAGGTGTTCCCGCTGTATTGCTTACTGTGGTCACTCACCTCTCCCTCTTTAGCAATTTTGCACTTTCTTCCACTGGCCAGTCTACTCAGATTGTGCTTTTGCTCTGCAGAGCTTTTCAGATTATTATGGATCCATTTACTCAGTTGGAAGACCTTGGCTTTGTTCACTGTCAGGAGGTTCTCTCTGTGCTTCCCTGCCTTCCTAAATACTATGTTTTGTAAGAAGTATCTTAAGTTAGCATTCAGCCGCACCTTCTTCAGCGTCCTTTCCTGGAGCACAAACTCAGTGCTAGCCTCTGCTTCCAGGCAGTGAGCCCCATCCAGGTACTTCATCCCCATGTGCCACTGTTGTTTCCCTCTAACCCACAGCTGAACTTTTGACTACTGCTTTCTCTTCTGGAGCTTTGAAAGTCTATGGCTTAGCCTGCCTACCTGTCACTTGTGTGTGTTTGTTTCATTTCTGATCCTCACGGATGCTTGTCTTTTTCTTTTTTCTTTTATTTCTTTTTTTGGGGTGAGGCTATAGCTTTTAAATTTTTCCTTTTGTATTTATGCTCTTTTTTTTTTTTAAGATTTTATTTATCTGACAGCGCAAGCAAGGGGAGCAGCGGGGAGAGGGAGAAACAGACTCTCTGCTAAGCAAAGAGCCTGGTATGGGGCTCAATCCCAGGCCCTGGGATCATGACCTGAGCTGAAGGCAGATGCTTAACCAACTGAGTCACCCAGGTGTCCCAAAAAAACCAAACTCCTTAAAAAAAAAAAAAATTCCCCTCCCTTCTCCTAGTTTTTGAATATAAAATCCCAGGAAAAGACCTTGATTGACCTAATTTTATGTCACATCTTGTCTTTGCACAGACCACCCAGCCTAGGACCTTAGGTCCTATGCATATGCATTTAGGTGGATTCTTGGGTACTGTGAGTGATATTCCCACTAAAAGATACATCATTAGAGGTTAGTCATCTAACCACAAGAAGAGAGGAAGACAGATCACCGAACAAAAGCAGATGCTCTCTATTTATATATGTGAGTGTGTGTGTGTGTGTGTGTGTGTGTGTAATCTGTATTTTAACTTTTTATTTTTACAGAAAGAAAGAGTTTACTTTCAAGTTTTCTTACCTAAGGGGAGCAAAGAGAAGAGCAAACCAATGTTCTTTTGCCACCGATGGAGCATTGGAAAGGTCATAGACTTTGCAGCTTCTTTAACCAGTCTTAAAAATGATAATAACAAATTAACAGCTAAGGTAACAACTGGTTATAATTTTTCTTTAAAAGCTTTAGGATACCTGTATACCAGCATGTTTGTTTATTACAGCATGATTTATTTCCTTTAATTTATTTCCCTTAACAGAAATTAAGGTTATGTCACATTACTTCAGGAGAAGCCTTACCCTTGGACCATACTTTGGAAACCTGGATTGCTAAGGAGGATTGTCCTTTATATAATGGTGGAAATATTATCTTGGAATATCTTAATGATGAAGAACAATTTTTAAAAAATGTTGATTCTTATCTGGAATAGTCATGTAAGGATTCAAGCCAGAAATGAAGAAAATTTTATGTTAAGTCAATTTCTTTTACTACAAATACTATATACGTATATTTTATTTTTTAAAAGTTGCTTTTTAACTTATTTCCATTATGTCATAATTTACATTATCAGTTTTCTATTAAATTAAATTTGAATTTTTGTGTTAAAGTTTAACTGTGAGCAGACATTCAGTTATTAGTAAATTCTTATCTTTAGCTTTTATTAGGTTGTGCTTAGTAACAACAAAAAGGTGTATTTCATTTAGTTAATGTCAGCTGTTGTGGCGCTGCTGCGTATCCTCTTTACTCTCGGATCTAAGCTGAAGGAATGACTCATGTTTGGAACATTGCTACTTTTAAGGCAGAGGAAGAAAGATGGTTTTTAGAAAATACATGTATCCAAAAAAAAAAAAGAGAGAGAGGGAGAGAAAGAGAGAAAAAATCCATGCATCACTTTTGCTTTAAGCAAGTAACCTGGCCAAACCTTGTATTATGAAGCCAGGGTATGAAGCCTTAACTATATATCCAGATGTATAAATTGATGTGTGTATGAATCATAGAAACTTGGAGACCATCTCATTCATTCTTCTAAGTTTTTAGATGAGGAATCTCAGGGTAGGAAGAAGAAATGATTTTCTTGGTGTTCTCTGTACTGCATTGGGGCATATCTCTCTGATAAAGGTCCTCCTCCAGTAGGATTTACCTTTTTTGTTTGTGTAAATGTATTACAAATGAGAGTAAGATGAGGTAGCACAACTTCATTTCAGTATCTTTATATATATCAAAGCAAAATACATACCAAAAGCAATTATATTTTACCAACACATTAAAATGAATGCTTCTGACTGATCTATCTCTTCCATCGGTACTCAACAAAGTACTACCATATAGAAGAAATAGAAATGATTTCTTCTTTTCCCTTTTTTGTTCTTTTTGGGAAAGGCTTTGTCCCTTTTCTGTTTTAATTGTCATGTACACAAAGTAGCTTTACATATAATTAAATAAAGGAATTAAACTCAGAATGTTCATCTCTTTGTATTTTCATGAAAGGAATGGAGATAACTTCTGACTTCTGTCAGCTACTTGTTCATTTTTTAAGGTAATTATTGGAGTATGTACCAAATATAAGAATTTGATTGTAATTGCCACGGTGGATATAATGATGAGTTGTATGCATACTTATAAAAAAGCTGTGTAGCAAATGCCAAATGAGTAGATAGACAGTAAATATAGATGTTCCAGTGGTTCTTTTATTAGAAACTACAAGACCAGAAGTAGAAATAATCCTTAAATATATTCCCAGAGACCAGAAAGTTTTAATACAGACCTTAGCATCTGTCATAATTACTTACATATAATAGGTGATCAACACATGCCTCATGAATTGAATTAAAGTTAAATATACCAGAAAAAAAAGCAATGGGGGTTTGAGAAGAAGGGCGGTAAGATGGGCAGAAATTGAATTATACCCAGGGAGAATGAAGAAGAGGTCTTGTCAGTGATTAGAGAAAAGACAAAGCAGCATGGAGGAAAAGACTTAATGTCAGCCGGCAAAGGAGAGGTAAATTAGATCAGGTCCCAGATAGTGTAGCAAACTAGTCTAGAAGAAACACAAAGGTTCCACCATCCTCAGAGACTGTAGGGACCAGGAGTTTCTTACCTACAAGATCGTGGGTAAGAAAGTCTCTCTACATTCTCATTTCTAAACTACAAAAATCAGACAGTTTTCTCAGGCTTTCTTTTGGGGTTTCAGTTGAGTATGCTTAATGAAATTTTTGGGTTTGACTTCCCACCTAACCCTAGTATCTTTCTGCCTGCTTGTGGACAATTAGAATTCTAAGTAGAAACCCAAAAATGGGGTGGGGGCGTACTATATTTAGATATGTGTTTGTAAACCACTATGATATAAACCTCAGTTTAAATGTAATCAGCCAGTAAATACATGTAAATGATAAGAGTATCAGATTTTTCCCAGATTTGTCAGGTTTTTTTCCTGGCGGTTTTCAGGTAAGGAGAGAAGGCTTGGAGAACATGAGCAAAGGGAAAGGCTGTTGATAGAAAGGGGAACAAAGCTTTAATTTTCACACCCTTGACCTCGGCAACAAAAATTAGAAATTAAGATATTAAGTCATACAAGTATAAAGATAGTTTTGGGTTCATTAAGTTTTTAATGTCTGTTCTGTTTTGTAATTGTAAACTAGGCAACTTCCCTGGTAATTTAACTGAGGTACTACAGAAACATCAGTTCCGTTCCCTATTTTCAGGTTGGTACAGTGTGTCATGTTTTTCCTAATGTGGTACATGGAAACAAGAGGTATGACATACAGAATCTATCGCATTGGAAAGAGTAGCCTGTATAAATGGAATATTTAAAAGACCTATAAAAATGTTCAATAAAAATTGGTTTGACAACTTCTTGTCAAAAGTGGGGCAAATATTTTTTCTGTAATATGTAATACATAACCTTCAGAGTTTCATTTGATAAAGATTGTGTCATGATTGTATGAAGGATCCACTGAAATGGTTATGTTTGGAGACTACTAGATCTATAGGCTCAGTAGTAGACCATTGCGGTAACTAACCCAAGAATTATTGGCAAAGGTCTCTCTCACACTGTTTCAAACACCTGCAATTCAATATTGCAACCAAAAAAAAGAAGTTTTGTTTTCTTCTTTAAAATTTTTTTTTTTTTTTTTTTGGCTTAGCATCAGAACTCCCTCCTCTTGTTTGGAAAATACAAAAGGGTTTGTGAGCCTGTGGGTTGAACTCCAAAAAAGCCTGATATCTTCCTTATTCCTCATAAGACACAGGCATATGACCTAAGTGGGTTAATTGAATGTCATTGTCCCTAGCTGTGAATAGGAATAGTGTTATAGGAAGGAGTAGAGATTAAAATTATGCCAGTGGCCTTCCTGTGCCCCACTCTGTCACCATCCAAGTGTCCAGGAGTGGTGGCCCTTTAACTAGGTTGTACCTTTGGCCATGGATCCAGCCATCTGCTTTTCCTAGGTTTCCAAGCTTATCTGATAATCATCCAGGAAATTTTTTTTGTTGTTTTGTTTTGTTTTGTTTTACTACTTAAGGACATCAAAAACAGTTTCGGTTTTTGCCTGATAACAATCACTCTCATCAGTCTAAGGAAACTATTATCAGACTAAGGATGCTACAAGGCTTGTATATGAGGACTACAGTTTTGTTTTGTTTTTTAAGTAGGGGGCTCAAACTCACAACCCCAAGATCAAGACCTGAGCTGAGATCAAGAGTCTGATGCTTAACCAGCTGAGCCACCCAGGTACCCCTGAACACTGTAGGTTTCTAAGTGATAATAAGAGGTTATCTGACTCTAAGCTCCAAGAGGGCAGAGACTGCGTCTGAATGGATTACTATTGTATACCCAGCTCCTAGCTCAGTGCCCCAGCAAACATGTTCAGTAAATATTTTGATTTTGACTTGAATGAATAAAATAATAATACCCATTTATAGTCCTCTTCAATCTCTATTTTAGATTTAGATATGACTGTTTTTAGTGTGGGTTTTCCATAGAAAGAAAGAGAATTAAAAAAATGATGACACTAAGATTTTGAATTCAGGTAAATAGGAGATTGTTTTTTCATTAGCAGAAATGAGAAGTCTGGAGGAAAGAGGTTTCTGCTATGGCTTTTACATTTTCATAACTACAGGTTAAATAAGTTGTGTTACTCACTAGATAGCTTCATATTTTGAAAAGCATGATAGTGCCTCCTATTAGACTTCAGTACAGCAAAAACAACTTACCTAACAACTTCAGACCGTCACTTGAACCTGCACGAAGAATGTTTTTTTTAGTTTTTTTTTTTAATGGTTTTGCATATGTGATTTATTTAAACTTTCAAAACAATTAGCAAACTTGTTATTACCCTGCTTTTGTCATTTGTGACTCTGGGAGAAGCAAGGAAGTCATTTCTCAGTGTTCTGAATATAGAAAAGACTGAAATGCTGTTTTTCATAAAAACTGAAGAAAGTGTCATTGAAGATCAAGTTATGAAAATGACTGGCCAAACTCCAGCTGTCTCCTCTTGCAAATAGATGATTTTAAACTGCTGCAAGTGGTGAATGTGACAAAAACCTTATCAAAAACCTTATGACAGATGAAGATGGAGAGACAACTGTGTTCAACTGTGGGATTCTGAAGGTAGGCAAGGTTCAAGAAATGTTCAAGTCAAAGTGCTTAAACAAAGAAAGATGGTCTTCTTAAGGTGCCAATGCATATTGATTGAAATATCCTGAATGCTTATTCTACCAATTTGCATTTGGATGCAATATTGAATTGCAGGTGTTTGAAACAGTGTGAGAGAGACCTTTGCCAATAATTCTTGGGTTAGTTACACAATTTTTTTTCGTATGCCACTTTATGGATTGCCTTTGACACAGATCTGGTATCACAGGAGGCAAAACCTAGGCTTTTGGATTTATAATGACCTGCATATGCCCAGGAGGAATGAATGTCTTCTGCTTCTAGAAGGAGTTGTCTTTTGGCCGTTTAGATAACTTGCAGTTCAGTGTTATTGGCCCTGATATTGATGTTTGCCAATTTTTTAAGGTTTTATTTATTTGACAGAGAGAGAAAGAGAGAGTACAAGCCATGGGAAGTAACAGAGGAGGGGGAGAAGCAGGCTTCCTGCTGAGCAAGGAGCCCAATGTTGGGCTCAGACCCAGACCCTGAGATCATGACCCAAGCTGAAGGCAGATGCTTAACCGACTGAGCCACCTAGGCGCCCCAATGTTTACCAGTTCTTATATATATACAGTAGGATGTTAGGGTTATCATGCACATTTCATATTCTTGTTTCTAAAATTATATATACCTTTTTATACTTACATCAGTTGGAATAGTCAAGTGTAGAATACCTGAAAAAGCAAACTTCTTGGAGAGAATAATTAGAATTCCGTTTTTATGTCTGTAGGGATTTATTTGACTTTTAGAATGTTTCTAAAAATGGTTAACCTAGAGGTGCCTTTATTGGGTGTCTTAGTTCCTGCTCTGGGTTTGTTGTTTGGGTACTCCTTTGCTAAAATTTCTGTGCTGCCTCTTCCTGTTTGTAAACTTGTTGCTATCAAAAGTGGGATGCTAGTTTCTTAGCCCTTGACATTATTCAGCTTTTTCACAGTCCAAGACTGACTTAGCTTCTGTGACTC